GTAAAGAGAAGATATCATATCTGCCTCTGGGAGCTCAGACTCTAGCTGGGTAACAGTCACTCACCCCTTCCCCTCTCCGCTTGTTCATCAAGAAACACGGAAATGAGCTCATACACTCAGGATATCACTTAGGATGCTTCAGGGTGTAGCAGGTAACAGAAGCCTGACTCCGTTTGGTTTAAGCGATAAAGACATTTGGAAACTCTCAAAATGTCTGTGGAGAGGTAGAGCGGGGTGCAGGCCCACAGTGGCTCGGCCTTAAGGATCCAGGTTTCTTCCATTACCTGTCCTTGTCCTAAGGCTGGTTCCACTCATGGTTGCCAGGAGACCTTAAGTGGTCATTGGGGTTTCAGATCCCTGGCTTAGAACACTAGAGCTTTGATTCCCTGTCGTGTGGCCTGGGGAGAGGTTAGGTTACCCTAGCATTTTCCAGGTTGTAGTGCATGCCAGAGAGGGTAAGCTACAACGGCATTTTCTAGGTTGTAGCTGTTCTGTTTATTTGTTCCTGGTTTTTCCTTTTACTCCTTAAGGGACGTGAAATGACAGAAATGACAGAGCCGGGGGAAATACTTAGGGAGTCATTGGCGAGTTTGACAAAACAATTCTAGATCTCCTTTCCTGTGGACCCAGAACTTCTGGTTGAGTAGGGTTGTCTGAATAGTTCTGGCCAGTGAGTTTGCCGAGTGAATAAATGGTTGCACGTCTTCTGGGTGAGGGATGAGGTGAGGTTATATGCTCTCCAGTGTCCTGGGAAAGGAATTAGCAGTCAGAATAAAGGGAGGTGACACATGGCCGCCGTGGGAAGGGTGAGAGGAGTGTAAGTGAGCACCTCGGCGGATGGCTGAGTCTGTTTACATTTGTAACGGAGTGCTAAATGGGAGTGTGTTGGCCTTGTGAAGTAGATGGTTTTCTTCCTTGACCTGGTTCCCGGGAACCTGAATCTACTGACGTCTACTCACCTGCCTCCCTTTTTATCCCTTCCAGGTTTGCAGTAAGCATTGGCTACTGGCATGACCCTTACATCCAGCATTTTGTAAGACTGTCTAAGGAGAAGAAGGCCCCCGAAATTAACAGAGGCAAGTGACCCCCTCCCTTCTCACTATTCCCTCATCAGCTGAGAGGCCTGGGGTTTTAGGGATTCACTCTTTTTTTTTTTTTTTAAACAATACAAATTTATTATCTTAAAGTTCTGAAGGTCAGAAGTCAAACATGGGTCTTACTAGGCTAACATCAAAGTGTCATCAGGGCCGTTTCTTTTGGAGACCATAGGGGAGAGTCTATTTCCTTTTCTTGTCTACCTTCTAGAAACCACCTACATTCCATGGAAGATGGCCCCTTCTGCATTTCAAAGCCAGCAGTATAACATAGGGATTCATTCTTAACATGAGAGTTCCAGTGTTCCTTCTCTCCAGTAGTACATGAAAGTGCTTATTTCCCCACATCCTCACCAACACAGTGTATTATGAAACTTTTCATCTTTGTGAATCTGATACATGAAAAATAGTATCTTACAGTAATTTTATTTTAGATTCCTCTTATTTTTGGGTGAAGTTGAAGATCATTAGGATTATTTTTTTAAGATCTTTTTTAAATGTTTATTTTGAGAGCAGGCTAGCGAACGAGAGTTTACTTGCTTGCAAGCAGGGAGGGGCAGAGAGAGAGAGAGAGAGAGAATGAGAGAGAGAATCCCAAGCAGGCTCCATGCTGTCAGCACAGAGCCCGATGTGGGGCTCAAACCCTTAAACCGTGAGATCATGACCTGAGCTGAAATCAGGAGTCGGACACTTGCTTAGCCCACTGAGCCACCCAGGTGCCCCAAGATCATTTTTATATGTTGAAGAGCCATTTATATGTCTTTTACTGTGAACTGTCTGTTCATGGAAGGAATGACTTTTTTTGGCCTTGTTAAAGTGATAGTAACACTGTTAGGCTGTACAAGTCATTTCTATCAAGGCAGTGAAAGGAACTGAGACAGGAGGGTGACTTAGTCTCAGCCAGATTGAGAAATTGGCCAAACGACCATAGTTCTTGTGGGTGCAGGGCATCTTGGCCCTAAAGACGGATCCTATGGGTAGTTTCAATGAGAAATGCGAAGAAATTTTAAAGTGGTGCTTCCTGAGAATAAGGACATGGTACTTACTTTGAGCTGAGGGTGAAACCAGGCGTCAGTAAGATTGGACGAGGCCTGGCTAAGAGGCCTTAAGCCTCCCTCCCGCACTCTTGAGGACGCTTTCCTAACAGACGCTGCAGAGGCAGGGCCCCACCATGGCGCCCTGGGTGCTGGGGGCCCTGGGCAGCAGGTCAGTCCTCCGGCCTTCCTTCTTCCTCTCCCTGGGTTGGCATCGCTAGACTAGGGCCCCATAGTAGGAGAGTGCTTCCCAAACAGCGTGTGGGGAGCATTTTTAAAATTTTTCCAATGTCCAGTCC